TCTCTATTATAAGGTAAATAAAAAGAAAAAAGCACTTTTGAGAAAAATGATTTAGACGAAAGTTGAAGAGTTTATAAAGATTTATTTACCGATCACATCTTGAGTGGCGTCGCCAAGGTCAAGTTAAGATCATATTAATTTTTTTAAACGGGACATCCTATTTTTAATTTCTAATAATTAATGTTAAGACACTTTTTTAAGACACTATAATAAAGTTCATTTTTCGTTAAGTACTTTTCGAGGCTATCTTTTGTCTGAATGAAATTGTGCTTTTATCCACGCGCAAAAATTCAAAATATTTTTAAAATTTAGTTTGGCTTCTTTCCAAAATAATGTTTAGTAATATGAAATATAGCTATGATAAAATAAAAGAAATTAGTATTAAAAGTTTTGTTGCTTTTTTATTGAAAGTTTAATGCTTTTATGACGGAGGTTTAACTTAATTGGATATGTTTTGTTTGAAACTGGAGAATAATACAACGCCGAGTATTTATACGCTGCCACTATTTATTATTGTATATGCTCAAATATGATAAACATATAACAACTGCCAATACAAGTTGTACTTAAGCTATTATTATTTACAGTGAATTAAAACTATTTTAAAAGCCAAAACAGATTATACATATAGAATAGATCTAAAAGAAATGTAAGACATATTTCAATAGAAATAGATTCGGCATAAATAGTAGGTTATGTTAAAATATCAATTGGATGACAAGTAATGTACAAAGATTATGTCAAAATGGAGTATCGCATTTGCTACGGACGTTTCGGCGCAAATGTCTCGTGCGCGCGACTTGGTGTTATACATTAAATTACATATATGAAAGTGCGCGTGTGAGGAAGGAAACGAAACCATTGAGCATAGTCCTTATACATTTTGTCCTTTATCTCTTACGATCATTAGATCCACTGCGACGAGAACGAGATCGACGGCTGTGACTACCACTACGGGAACGTTTTGATCTGGAACAAGAAAAATATCAAATACACTGTTAGACGATAGGCCTATTCTTTTCAACTAAACTTCTTCGTCCTTCCTCTTTTTCTTTTCATGTTGAAGAGAGTAATAAGTTCAGTTAAAAAGAGCAGATCTCATGGAAGATACCATTTGCACTTTGAAAATTTTGCCAATTTTAATTCACTCAGATTTGAAAGAGGAACGATGATCTATATTTTTAACTCATTACAATGTTAGAAAAACATGAAATCCACAAACCTTCTTCCACGACTGCGACTGCGAGATCGTGACTTTCTCCTACCGCTATCCCTGCGTTCCCGGTCCCGATCACGCTCACGATCGCGATCGCGATCGCGATCGCGGTCACGATCACGATCGCGATCGCGATCGAGGTCACGGTCACGGTCGCGATCGCGGTCACGGTTACGGTTCCGATCGCGATCACGGTCGCGGTCGCGATCTCTATCGCGGTCGCGATCCCTATAGCCCAATCCTTCACGGTTCCTGTCCCTATCGCGGTCTTTGTCGCGGTCCTCCCTGTCTCTGTCCCGTCTTCTGTCGAGCAGAGATTCACGTTTCTCCTTACGTCTTTCCTCAACGGTTTTTTGAAGTTCAGCGAGTTTTTCACGAATTTTAATAAAACCGAGATGCAGTTTCCCACCAAAGTGATCCGCCAGTCGTCTGTCATTATCATGTATCCCAAGGTATGCGCTGCAAACTTCGCACACTCTCAGTTTCTGTTGTTGATAACTTGACGCCGGCATGCTGTTTCGATACTCCTGTTCAGCTTCGTTCTTCTTTTTGCGCAGCTCGTCGATCTCGCCCATTAGTTTCATCGACTCCTCGACAAAGCCCTCTTCGCCGAGTTGTTCGGCCTTGGCTAGTTTCTTACCGATCTCCTCGGCGAGCACGTGGACGTTGTTCGCCTTCGCCGCCACTTCTGCGCTCAGTTCCTCCTGTGTCTCCGCCAATCGTTGTTTGGCTTGTTCTGTACGACGGTCGCAATCGGCGATGAAGTTTTGGAGGTGTTCCATAGCCTGGAAATTCGAGAAAGTCATGTTAAAATTTGTTTAATCGAAATTTTAGAATTTCTCGATGATAATAAATTATCGAATGCAAATTGTGAACAGGATAAGATTCCTCTGTAAAATATTAGGTGTTGGAATTAATTCGTAGCGTTTTTTAATGAAAGAATGTTATTTATTTCACATGAGCACATTTGTTTTGTTTAGTTTACATGTTACAAAGTCATAATTGTTTTTAGTTTAGATACAATTCTTAGATTTTTTTTAAAATCTGCACTGAAGTTCGAAAACCCAGATTACCCCCATTGCGGGTAAAGAAAATTTCACATTGCTGACAGAAACGGTTAAACGTTCAATATTATTCTACAGACCATTAGGGCCATGGCACACAAAAAACTCAAAACAGAAAGACATAAGCAATAAGGAAATCAACATATTGGATTGGCTACTGCTTACATTATGGTCTTACGGACTTTACAGTGATTGGTCAATTCGCCTACTGCTTACATTTTACTGCTTTATTGTTTTATTGTGTACCATGACCCTAATGATCTGTACAATAATATTGAACGTTTAACCCTCTGTTAGCAATGTGAAATTTTCTTTACCCGCAATCTGGATTTTCGAACTTCAGTGCAGATTTTTATACAATTCCGAATTATAAAAATCTGAAAAAATAGTTGCATACTTATAAAAGCTTTAACAAATTTTTATTATTTTATATAGAAGTTGTATAATATTTTACTTTTTAAATTTATTTATAATCAGAATTCATACTGTAAAAAAATTGACTGTGTCTTTAAAGTCCAACATTGCCGGTGGAGGATTAATATTAAAAATTAAAATAATGCGATAAAATGAATACTCACATCAATGTCATAGAAGTGATCTTTCTTCTTTTGCGCGGCCTCGTAGTCAGCCCGTAGGGCCAAGTCGTGAATCTGGGGGCATTCTCCCAGGTCCATGCGCTACGATTTACAAACCAAATCATGATTAGATTTACGATCCCTTCGTTCGTATGCGGGCCTTATCGATTCTATGCGTTATACGAGTTAGACCCCTTCCCAACATTGCGTATTAACGAGATAACTTCTTATTTGACAAGAATATAACGTACTTGGTCGCGGTATCGCGACTGGAAAATAGCACGAATCAATAATCTAGGAGAGAGACAGAGATGATACGACAAAAATTCTGAGCTTACATCGCCTATATCCTTAGGATAAGACGGTCCAATATATTTTCTTATATTTTTTGTTCTTTTCATTCTTTTTACGTGAACTCACAGTAAGTTCGTCTTCCTGCACAGGCTAGGATAGAACGTACAATAATGAAGCGATCGAGATCGTCAGGCGATCTAGAATCGCGTGTAAAAGTAGAAATGCAGTTTTTACAGATAAATAGTTTGTTGTTTTCACTTACAGGGTGGCAACAGTTCTCCGCCTGACACGAGAATGCGATGGCAATGAAGCTATAATCAGCACACACCTTAAGTTTCATAATGTTCACTTTTTTCTACGAAAGAGAACTTACAGCCTATAATGGTTTAATATACTATTTTACGTACGGCACGAACCGTGTCTTATGTTGGCTGCTAAACGAATTTTTAGAAAAAAAACGGATTCAATACGTACACATCCAATGGTTGAAGGAAATTTTTCTAATGGAACTGGCGCTTGTTGTACTAATCCGCCTAATCACACGTCTCTCTGCGTCATGCCACCTCTCATATTTTCTCTGCCGAGACATGTTTGGATGTTGCAAATTGCCAAAGATATTATTAAATATTCACGCGAATGAATCCAAAGAACTTTGCTAAAAATCCTCTTTAATCGTTGCGGTTGTACTTAAGATTGCGTTCCATAATTGAAAAAAAATCTCCATTAATCTCAAAGTCTACATCAATTCGCGCAGCGGTGCGAGTGACGTAAAATTTTTCCTTGTTTTTTCGTACTTTTAGAATGGAATCGAGAACGGAGAAAAATCCTCCTACATGAATCTCTCGCGCGAGGAATGAAACCGACAGCGATTAAATGTCGTATAGGTACTTGGCAATTCGCAAATCTTTTACTTACAGATCACTGCTTCATTTCCTGCACCCATACTTCCACCGGATGATATATATTTTCTCACACACATTCTCAAAGTAAACTTCTCATTCCTACCTGCCGTAAACGGCATTATTAGTAAGAAGCGACATTAAGACATCGTCTCATGAATCAGCATGACGCTACTCACCGACTCACTGTTTACAGGCCTTTTCGAGGGAATTCTGGGAAATTTATTCTTTCGGCATATTATTCAGCCTCACCACCGTATGGAAAATCGGTAGAGGGGCTGAGATAACCGCCCGCCTCTTTACGTCACTCGTATCGAATTAATATATATAGATATGTATATAGATATAGATATAGATATGCATATATATATGTATATCTAGCACTTGAATTATGGTAAAGGTAAATCAAATTGTAGGTGTAATACGTACGTCCTCTTCTCGTTTTCAGTACTTACAGTAACGCGCGTGTGAGAGTGACAAGTACAACACGGACATATGAGCGGACAATACTCGCAACAATATTGTACAATGGATCTGATTGGAATTGCTTTTTCCAGAGACTCTGGAAATAGAACTGTAGTTACGTTGACATTAGTGGATCTGCATATTTCTCGTTCGAGCGATTGCCGTTAGTATTTTTTCGTGTTTTTTTTTTAATATTTTTTTACGTTCTGCCTTCGTTTGCTCTCTAATATCGTGTTATCGATATTTTTTAATGGTTCTCATTATGGAAACTATATCGCGAGACCTTCAGAAGTGTTTGCTATCTCTCGCCGTTACATTCCAATACATTCTCATAAATTTCACGACACAATATATACGATCTCATTTAAATGACTTTTTTTATTTCGCAAAATGTCACATAAAAAGCGTTAGGTATTATTATGTTTATTATGTTAGAAAGTTGAACTGCTAATCTGTGTAATCTGTGTTAACTACTTTATACGTATATTTGTCAATTCTACTGGAATTGTACTTTATCATTTGAATTTGAACACAATTTAGGCTGGTTGAGGACAAAGGCGACACTCCGAGAATAAAGCAAATTCCTTTATATTTTCGTTATATTCAAGTTATGTACTCGAAGAGAATTTAATTAAAATCTTTGAGAAGAAATGAAAACGAGGGACACAGAAAGATTGATGTGAAATGAAAAGAAATAATTCGTTCATTCTGAAAGAAATAAAAAGAAAAAATTAATCAGAGATAATGAATTTATTTGAGATAAAATTAACTGCCAACTTCAGACTCTCCTTACTTCCGTGATAGAGAATTGTTATCCAATATAAGAAAATTTGATAAAGTTCTCGACATTTACACGCGTGCAAATATTATTTAGACAAAATAAAATTATTCATACGAAATAAATTCTGATATCTGCAAATGGCATTGAGAATTAAAGATTAAAAAGTAACTAAAAGTTTAGATCGAGCATTTTGTCGCATAAAGAAATTTTTCTAGTAGCTGCCTGACAATAAGAAATAGAAAAAGAGGGAGGGAGAGAGAGAGAGAGAGAGAAGGAAAAAAAATGATCAAGAGAGAAAGAGCATAAAGCGAAATAGAATTTTTAAAATGCCTGTCATGGAGACTATAAAAAGTTTATAATAGAAACAACTTGACATTATTATTCCAATAGAGAGGCATGTTTATATATATTGGAACATCGATCCCTCTTGTTATAAACTCGAGACATCAGAGAAGTGGTTCAGGCAACTACGTGTAGAAGAATGCAAGAGAGAGAGGGGGGGGAGAGAGAGAGAGAGAGAGAGAGAGAGAGAGATAGCAAACACCCCTGTGATCAATTCCCACAAGATGACACTGAAATGCGCGAAGCAGTACTATAGAACATTAATTATTGTTCGTTCATGTATCATTAATCCCGTGTATGCTGTAACTAATAAGTAAGTGTTGCTCGATCGACCGCATATATGCAGGATGTGTGATTGCGTCTTGATTTCAAGTCACCACAGTCAGCTGCCCGATATCACTGCGATTGCAGTATTTTCAATACATGTTAGATATATGTATATATACATGGATCCACACGCGACGTTCTGAGGAATAGAACAGGCAAAACTAGGTTCCGCGGTCTGGAAAAAGAAAAATGATATGAACGTGAATGCGATATTTTTGCGCGTTTTAAGGCCGCGCTTCCAGGCCGCGCCAAGTACATTTGACTGTTCTAAACCCAAGGATCTACGTGTGTGTGTACAATAGTACGATTAAAAAACGCCTGCCCCGTGTTGCACTTCGACGGTATCCAGTGTGAATTGATCGTAATCAATTCCTGAGGTACGTGTCGAATAAATAAGGCGAAATGCTTCCCCTTCCGGCGCTTATCCTTTTTTATTTAAATTCGCTTATTAAGTCCTATACAAATGACGTTCTTACGATCTACGGATACTTAATGCCTACGTATGGTACTGAGCAGTGAGCACACCGATTGGCACAGATGAAGAAGAAAAAGCGCTAACAAATGGAATGTTCGTGATGAATCTATCTCACCTATCTATTTTAAGTTCGTCTAAATTCTATGGGCGAGTAATAATTTCTAAAAAAAAAATGCTCTTCAGCTTCTACATTCGAAACAGCTAATCAGTATTCTCTACATACATTTTTCTATTTGATTTTAAATGAAGGTGTACCTTTGTACAATGCAAAGGAATATTCTAATTGTGTAACGTATGTATGTGTGACACACAGTACTAAACAAGTCAGTGTGCATACGAGTTCACGACCGTGGTAGTAAATACAGACCTTCATTATCAATTTATTGCCCTTTATACTAAAATGGATTTGATCACGGTCTGACTCACTGGACAACAAATAGCACAATCAGGAAAATAAGGCGAATTAGGAAAAACTGAACGATCTAACGAACAAATTAGTCTTTATAATTAAATTGTGAAATATAAATACGTAACAGCAAAAGGCAGCAGAAATTCCAAATTTTGTCAAGACAAAAAGTGACTTTGATTATTTCAAGAAAAATTATTCTTATTTATTTTTCTACTTGTAAATCTGCTAAATTATTAATTATTTCATACTTATGCCTTTAAACAGCAATAATACTATTTGTGTTCGTGCACACAGACTGTTTGATGATTATGATTAAGTGTATGGATATGTAAGTATTGAATATTAACGCTTTTTATTTAAATATTCAACTATTAATTACAGAGCTCCTATTAAAAAAGAAACCGTATATGGAAGATTAGGAATATACTTGTAACATATACTTGTATTTCCCCAATTTTTCGTATACATTTCTTTCAAGAATAGGAGTCTAAATATTATAAAAAAATTGTGATTACACGATTCCATATGCTATATTCTATTGACTTTACTATCAACATCTATTAATATAGAACTAGCAATACAGTAAATTACTTTTATAGAAATAATAAAATGTATTATTACCACTCTATCATTTTCACATTATTTATGATATATTTCCGCTTATTAAAATATTAAAAATTAAAAAACAAAAATTAAAAATTAGTAAAAAAATCGCGTCCCCAATCAGCATACAATATTTAAAAAACATTTTTTAAACATTTATTTAATATTTTTACATTAAATAAATATTTAAAAAATATTTAAATATTTTTTTAATGTTGTGTGCTGATTAAGTCTACTTTTCGTATTATTATTGCATATTAATTTTGTAGTTAATATTATATTGACTTGAGATGATGGATGACTTTATATGAAAGAGTGATTGACTAATGTCTGTGTCACACTATGCATTGGAAACTGAGAATTGCGCGCGAATTGAGGATTAGAATTCAGCTAATTAAAACGAAACGGATAAATTAAAATTAAAACTACCTGATTGATCAAATTCTGATCCTTAATTCGCAATCCTCAATCTCCAATGTGTAGTGACACAGGCATAACGCAGCCTTTACTCTTTGAATTTTTTGAAATCTCTAGAGTCAAAATTGAACCTTAAAATTGAATCTTAAAAAAGAGGGCTCTCAATCTCAATTAAATTAATCTCAATTTAACTTACTGTGAAACCTTGTAATGAGGTTTTACTTTTTGGAGTGAGATTTTTCTCTAAAAGTTAAAGAGTAAATGCTAAATATTATTGTACATTTATTTGGTATAATATTGATGCCCTCTTTAAACAATTCAAAATAATCTCAAGGTTCAAAATGCAGCCTCCAGACGATCAATATTGTGCAATAATACGGATCATCTAGTTAGCAAGCTTTATAGTCAGCAAGTCCCGGGTTCAGAACTCACTGACCCTCAGCTCATATATGTCTCGAGTTAAGAGGTTGATTGAAAAATTAAAGGTTGTAAGAGTGTGAAGAAATATATGAGATGGCAATTGTAAACAGTTTCGGGAATCCGTATCATCGATTAAAATATAGATAATATATTGGCTAAAAAAACGTAGATTGAGCAAATAGATCGTGCAATCAGTGTAAAACAGAATTTATGAAATAACAAAAAATAAATAATAAAGAGGAGACGAAATGTAATTACAACCTATTATTTTCTCTGCTGCATCGGGGATGAAAGATATCGGCAAAACTCCGTATGTGTGTGTATGTGTGTGTATGTGTGTGTTGTATATGTGTATACATATATATATATATATGTATATATACAGGATGCATTTATTCTCTGCGCATAGTGCCAACGGTGTGTCATTCGTGTTTGAATTCGCTGCATTACGGAATATTATACTCACCGTCGACGAGAGGATTTCATGGGGGCAGCAGGCCAGCAAAAAACTCTTGCAGACCTTCGAGTCGGAGTATTTCACTTGAAATTTGTTATTTTCACCTGGAAACAAGTTCAGAGTTAACGGTGATTTGACATCGGGGAGATAAGCATATTTATAAGGGTAGGGTGCTACATTGTTAACAAGTATGGCCGGCGATCTCGCACTTTTCAACTCGGACCCGCACTCATCTCGTTATCACTCATTCCGCGAGCCACATGCCACCGTAACGATGTAAGAAGTGAGATAATGTATGTACCATTTCGTCCTGT